AGTCTTGGGGCTCTACCTGGATAGAGAAGCCAAGGCTTTGGCGGGGGGGGGGGGCGGGGGCCGGGGTGGGCAGAGCCGAGCTGGGGTGGACAGTTTGCAGCTCCAGGGCCAACCCATGGAGCCTGCCACCCTCGTGTCCTCTACTCTCCCTTCCCTTCCCTTCTTTTCTTCTCTGCCTCCTACTTCTTGCCTCCCCCAGTCCTTTTTCTCCTCTTTCAGTCTATGCCCCAGCCTGGCCAGCGGCCTCGCATGGCTTTGTCTAGTTGGGCCAGAGGGGTGGGTGAGAGTCTCCTGCCCATGGCCCAGACCGCTGACTATCTGCTCCAATCCTCAACATTAGTGAGGCAGGGATTAGAGGAGGAAGGAGACAGTGATGGCTAACTTTAGTTTGCCTTTTTTTTTTTTTACAGGTCCCAAGAACTGTAGGCAGTAGACAGATTCAAAGCACAGATTTTTGATTAATCAAAAAGCATCCTTGAAAACCCTAGGAGGAATACAAATGAAGTATAACGTACAATCTCTGTCTTTATAATCAGCAGACAAGGGAACACTGTTGAGTAGGGATCAGTATGGTGTCTGTGACGGGAGTGGTCAGTTCACAATAGCTGTGTGCTGTGCTCCTACACCGTCCTGCATCCTGTTCCAGAGCCTGGGGGCAGAGATGACACGCAAAGTCCCACCCCAGGCCGGCAGGAGAGACCAGAGCAGAGGGAGATCAGTGTGGACGGGAGGACAGGGAGGGCTTTCTAGATGCAGACAATTGCTTTTTCCGACAGCTCATTTTTAATTTTTTTTTTTTAAGGTTTATTTATCTTTGAGACAGAGAGAGACAGAGCATGAACGGGGGAGGGTCAGAGAGAGAGGGAGACACGGAATCTGAAGCAGGTTCCAGGCTCTGAGCTGTCAGCACAGAGCCCTACATGGGGCTCGAACCCATAGACCTTAAGATCATGACCTGAACCCAAGTCGGAGGCTCAACCCACTGAGACACCCAGGCGCCCCCCCCTCCACCCCCGATAGCTCATTTTTAACTCCTTGTTACTGACCGGAGGTACACGCCCAGTGAAACAGAAGGCTTCCCTTGAAGGAATCAATTCTCCTTCCGCAAAATAGAAGGGGGGAAGGGGGAAGAGGGAGGTTGCTGCTCTGCATGGAGCACACTGCCAGCACTTCCGACACAATCGAGTTTCACTTGTGCAACAACCCCCTTACACATTTACTTATTTCCCTGGAGAGGAGACTGACACCCCCCCCCCCCCAAGATTCCGGGCTAGATGTAAGCTTCAAGTGTGTGGTCTTTCCACTCTCTGTGGCTCCCCCAAATTCGGAGCTCCACGCTGGCAGGCGGGTGCGGGGGCTGGGATCCTACAGGGGGAGTCCACCTCTTCTGAACCCAGAAACCCCGAAGGTAGGGACGTTGTAGCCTTGGTGGTGGTGACCCAGGCCAAACACGCGTGCTTAGGAGTGAGAGATGGAGTCACGCTGGTCTCAGAGGGGGCAGTTCCCGCCCTGCTCTTGGTTGGATGTAGCCCATCCAGCCGCAGCGCTGAGCAAACTGAGGTCCTGGAGAGAGAAGGGGCTCGGCCCAGGTCTCCCTGCTCCGCACCCTCTCAGGCTTTGTCCACTGCAGTGTTTTTTGCAGGTCACCAAGCAGAGGGCAGGATGGAAATTGCCCATCTTCCTCACGCTGTGCCTATTGCAAGGTGAGTCCCAAACCCAGCCCAGACTCAGAGCTTGCGGGATGAGCCCCGTGCCTTCCAGGCTGCAGAGATTTCTGGCGGGCCCTCAGTGGCGTTCAGGGCTCCCACGGAAGTTTTGGGCATACCCCGGCTTTCTCTCCGGGGATCCAAGGCCCTGCAGTGGATCCAGGGAGTGGTCAGATCTAGGCCCAGGGGGAATGGGAGAGGCAAGAGAGAGGGCATATGCCTGTTTTGATCTTTTCTAGAAGATTCACTGTCTTGCTATGCCCAATATCTCTGCTCTCTTCCATTCAAGTTGATGGCTGAAAGTCGGCTGCATTTGCAAGATAAGGGTTCCAGGGCTTGTGTATAAAAGACGGCAGGCAGAGGGCTCATTCCCACTCATTCAAAAAACACTCAGTGCCAGGCCCAGTACTAAGGACTTAAAGGTGCAGATCTGTCCTACATGAAACAGTTTGGAGTTGACAAAGAAACGAGATGGGTCAATAAAATTTACATCTATGCATTTACTGATATAGTCAACATACATTTATGGAGGGCTGACCGTATGCCCTGCGCTAAGGGCGGGTGGATGAAAGAATCTTGCCAATAGGTGCTGGCAGGCTGGTGTGGTGAGCCTGGCCAGGTATAGATCCGGCTCAGATGACAAATGGCCCTATGTGCTGTGGTCGGCATTTTATTTTATTTTAAGGTTTATTTTTGAGAGAGAGAGAGAGAGAGAGAGAGAGAGAGAGAGATCACAAGCGGGGAAGGGGCAGAGAGGGAGGAAGACAGAATCCGAAGCAGGCTCCAGGCTATGAGCTGTCAGCACAGCCTTACGAAGGGCTCAAACTCACAAACCGCGAGATCGTGACCTGAGCCGAAGTCAGATGCTTAACGGACTGAGCCACCCAGGCGCCCCAAACAAATCAGAATTTTAATGAATCAAGGGTAGCTAATACAGGAGCAAGAACTCTGTACTATAATCAGACCATCTCTTTATTTTAATCTCCCCCCAGCCCCTTTAAAATTTTTCCGTAGAAACCAAAGCCCCCAGATGAAAACTCAGGCAGGCCCATGATTTTTCTGTTAACATATTAGTGTAGGTGAGAGTTCTGACTGAATTTCTTTCACTCTCGAATGCTAAATTTGAAGTTCTAAGTGTGCAGTTAAATATTTTCGTTGGCCCTTTAATCTTCCTTCAACGATATGCCCCATCATCTACCCAAGGCCTACGGTCAGGAAGACGCTGCAGGGGGGACGCGGTGGCCGTCTTCTCTGTTCCTCTCTTCTGCCTCCTCCCCACGTTGGCAGTTGGGGCTCGGGACCCCAGCAGGGTCCCAGGAGCAAAAGGGAGGAGAGGCAATAGACAGGGAGCTCTTGCTTGCTGGGGTGGCCTGGAGCTCTCTGGCCTGGCAGGAGTTTAGAGCTGGCTCTTTCTTTGGTGGGTGCATTTGTGAACTTAGATGGTCCCCTGATGGCCCATCTCCTCCCTTCACCCCAGGTTCTGCTTTGGCCCCTCCACAGAGAAGACCCCATCTCAGATGCCTGCGGACCGTCTCTCTGCCCTCTGCACCCCGCCTCTGGGCCAAGGAAACACTCACTCCTTTCTCACCCCTCTGCGGGAGAGGGAAGACATCCATCGCAGGTGCAATGACTCTCCCTCTGTCCTGCCTCAAACCTCTTGTGCTCTCTCAGACAGAGTCGGTCTCCAGTCCATGGCTGCCCCACATCTGCAGCCCCCCCACCCCCAACTTGCTCCTCTCTGGGAGAAGCCATAGCCACAGATGACTGCCGGGAAATGATGGGTGAATGCGTTCAGGGCATCTGTCTCCACTGAAGGGCAGAGAATCTGCATCAGGGGCCCCAGATGGGCACCACGTTGATCTAAAGTGCTAGCTCTTTCTTTAATTTCCATAGGTGACTAATAAAAATTCCAAATGACATGGGGGCATCTGGATGGCTCAGTCCATTAAGCATCCTACTTCGGCTCAGGTCACGATTTCACGGTTCATGGGTTTGAGTCCCGCATCAGGCTCTGTGCTGACAGCTCGGAGCCTGGAGCCTGCTTCGGATTCTGTCTCCCCCTCTCTCTGCCCCTCTCTCTGCTTGCGTTCTCTCTCGCTCTCTCTCTCTCTCTCTCTCCCTCAAAAATAAAGAATAAAACATTAAAAAATAAAAAAAAATCCAAATGACATATAATACATACCAAATACATTCCAAATTATACATAATATAACATATATCCCTTAATTATGTATAACTAGGAACGACTGATCAGTAATCTACTGAGTTCTTAAGGGCCAGTTAAATTTGGTATTAATAAAAGAAAAAAAATGTTGATTGCAAGAGCTGATTACAGACTCTTTCTTTTAAAGTTTATTTTTGAGAGAGAGAGAGAGAGAGAGAGAGAGAGAGAGAGAGAATCCAAAGCAGGCTCTGCGCTGACAGCAGCGAGCCCAATATGGGGCTTGAACTCACAAACCATGAGATCATGACCTGAGCCGAGCCACCCAGGAGGCCCTGGTTAAGGATTCTCAATCAGCTTTCTACAGCGAGGTCGGACTGCCCCGTCCTGCCGATTCGTGGAAGAGACATACAAAAGACTGTCCCGTGTGTGCCACAAGCAGGTCACAAGAATTCCTGAAAGCTAGGGCACGAACCCTTTATCAGGGCACTACCAATGTTGTCCTGAGATAGTCCTTGTTTGTAACTGAATATTCTTGACTCTCAATGATAAATTGCCACTTATCCTGATTAAGAGCGGCACAGTTGGTGATGCGTCATGTAATTACATCTACCGTGAATATTGATATAGTCGTGGCTCTTACGGCCCTGAGTCTTCTAGAATTAGACCTCCGGACATACGCAACAGGCAGGGCCAGCTCGACGAGCTAAGAGGGCTGGGTTTAATGCTCTGCTATTACCCTGGTGAACAAGGGGTTAATAATTTTGCAACAAGGGGCTCCGCATTTGCGTTTAGCACTGGGCTTTGCAATTATGTAGCCACTATGGGCAACAGGATATTAAACTTGGGTATTAAACTGAACCTACTTGTCTTCCGAGGCTCTAAAGACACCGACCCAGTTGATACGCGCCAGGTACCCACAGCCTAAAGCAAGATATTCTGCTGCCTGGGCAGGAACGCACAGAGCGGTTATAAAGCCGGTTGTCCCTGCAATAGCCCGCCGTGTAGCCGTCTGAAGAATCGTGAGCCCCCAGCAGAGCTCACCGGGAGAGCTGCTTTGGAGAGAGATGTCCATGTGTTGCGCCCTCCTCCACTTGCCTGGGGAGACAGGAGGGATTGCTGCCCCCTCCCGTTCAGGCAAGTTCAGAGAAGGAATCTGTAGGAAGACGCTCAGCGAGTTTTTCCTATGTCCAGCTTCTCCTGACAGCAGAACAAAGGCGTTTCCTGGAACCTGCTGAAAGGAGCTGGCCTGGGGACTCTTCCACGAAGGCCACCCAGAAAGGACTGTGACCCCAAAAGGAAGGGCAGGTGGCCAGCCGTCATAGGTTTAGTGGTGGGGGGGGGAGGCCCAAAAGGCCAGTCGGAGAGACAGTTCTTGCCGGGAGGGAACTGCAGCCAGAGGCCATGGAAGGGTCTGGGAGGCAAAAGTCCCAGGAAGAGCTCTGACCGCCCGTGTGCCCAGAGAGCATGGCGAACAGAGCACAACTCTCTGCCTCGCCTTCCCCTCTGTTCCTCTGTACCCAGTCCCCGATGGGCCTAAACACCAGTTTTGAGTAGAAGGAGTAGAGCAAAGAGACTGGAACGGCAGCCAGTCATTGGACTGGACCGACCTTACCACCCTGGGCCAGGCTGGACTTTTTCCCCATCCGAGGGAGACCGTGAGAGTTACCACGAGTGAGGTTACGCCTGCGATTCATCAAGCAGCAGAGGCCGTATGAAGAGACAGGGAGAGACACGACAAGCCTTGTTTCTGCTCGCCCCAGAGCGAGTTAATGTCATTCAGTAAGCAGGCCGTGGGCAGGTTCAACCACGATTTCCACCTGTTACCAAAGCGGGTGTGTTCGCAGGCCCGTTCAGCTGTGCGTTGATGGGAGCATGTGGTTGTTTACCCTCTGCCGGAAAATGCCGGGGGAGGGGGGCGAACACATCCCCAGTCACCGGTCTGGGGATGTACCCACCAAGTGGACCGGGATACCGGTGTTTCAGGCACCCTCTCCGCTCGGGGGGAAAGCACACTAACCTGTTCTTACCATCGAACTATCTCTTGTGTATTCACTCCACCAACCAGACTGCAGCCCTCCTGTCAGATGTTGACCCGGGCCCCGGACGGACTCGTAGGAGAAAGTCTGGCACATGATAGGAGCCAGCTAACAGTTGGAAAGAGTATTCCTGCATTTCTGTCTCTCACATGGGGCCCTGGGTACAGCTGCATTCTGTATCTTGGGGTACTCCCGGTCCAGGGGCTAAGCTCTGACATTTCTATGTTGATTCTTCCTCGCCTCACTTTCACGAAGGTGTTTTATCTGGCCTACTCCCTAATTCCGACAGAGTCTGGAGCTCGTACCTCCCCACCGTGACCTTTCGCGAATCTCCCTTCCCTCTGACCATTTTTTTCCCCCTCTCTCTGCCCGCAGACGCAAACGCACTGAAGGGCCCGAGGCTGGTGTCTGGGGAGCCTGGGGGAACTGTCACCATCCAGTGCCATTATGCCCCCTTGGCCATCAACGTATACGAGCGGAAGTACTGGTGCCGTCTCAGCCCCCTGACGTCGTTCTGCCACACCATTGTGTCCACCACCGGCTATGCTCATCTTGGCTACCGTGGCCGCGTGACGTTTGCAGACTTCCCGCAGAGAGGCTTGTTTGTGGTGAGGCTGTCCCAACTGTCCCCGGATGATGTGGGCCGCTACCGCTGTGGCATTGGGAAGAGAAACGACATGTTCTTCTTCAGCATGAATCTGACCGTCTCTGCAGGTACGGGCTGACGGCGGGTGGGTCAAGTCTGGTGAGGGGAATGCTGGGAAGGAGAAGGTGTGGGAGAAGACTGTCCGGTCCAAGAGGCCCCTTAAACCTGAGGGGAGCGATGAGGAAAAGCTGGGGGTGGGGCAAGGACTTTAAGAAGTAGGCTTTCAGGGGCGCCTGGGTGGCTCAGTCGGTTGAGCATACAACTCTTGGTTTCGGCCCAGGTCATGATCTCACGGTTGCGTGAGTTGCAGACCCATGTCTGGCTCTGCACTGGCAGTGAAGAGCCTACTTGGGACTCGCTCTCTTTCTCTCTCTCTCTCTCCTCCTCTGCCCCTCCCCTGCTTGCTCTGTCTCTGTCTCTCTCGAAATAAATAAATAAACTAAAAAAAAAAAAAAAGTAGGCTTTTATTTCAGAAAGAAATTACCTTCGGGAAGGTAGGTATTAGGAAACACTTCCAAAATGAATGCATGCAGACTGCCTCACCCAAATCCCCCCACATTTTGTGGCATGTGTTTTTGGAGAGGACTCCAAGAAGTTGAATTGAATAATATGGCTTCTTAGGCGCATGGTGTCTCTTTGTTCAGACAAGCAGAGCAGGTAAGAGATGCGGGACGAAAGAGGCTCTTCCTGAGACCGAGCCCCTTAGCAGACATCTGACAGCTTCGAGGTCCATGCTCTGTGTGGCAGGTTCCAGAGAAGTGACCCAGAATCGGGCACCCAGAGCCTGGGGAAGGGCGCCCAGGCAGTGGAAGACCAGGAGAGAGGCAGTGCCTAGGATTGCATTTGTCTTGTTCAATGTCACTCTAACCATCTGCTGAGATTGGCTGCTCTATTTGAGGACCCGTATGTGGTGGGCTGTGGGAAAGAGGCCAGTATGGGCATGCAGGACAGCTCAGTAGAGACTGTGGGCATAAAAAAGAGAGAGAGAAAGGACCATAAAATGTCAACATTTGCAAAAAGATTAGAGATTCCACCCGGTTTTCCCCTATTTTTATTTTATCCAACATATTGGCCCAAGACTGTGTTGCTTAATGAGGATGCATTCCTTGGGGCAAACACTTTAAGCCTGGGATCTTTTGCTAAATCCTGTAGGCAGCTGGGATGGCCTTCCTATGCGGTCTCCTTCCGCCATTGACAGGTCTTTCCAGCGCCGTCCCCCCACCCACTCTGGCTGCGGGTGAGCTCGTCGTGGCATCCCTTGGAACAGCAACACCGGTGGCCAACAGATGGACCCCAGCAACCTCCCGGATGACAGAAAGACAAGGAACAGGATTCCACAGAGTTGCTCTGACTCCAGGAACCAGGAAAACAACAGCTTCCGCTGAGGGCAGGCAGACCCCAGGAAAAAATGGAGCAGCAGCTCTAGGGACAGGTAGTCGGGTAGAGAGTTCTGTCCGGACAACAGAGAGTTCGGCTTCAACCATCGGAGATATGTCCAGTACGACAGAAGGTGTTTGGGTGTGGGACACCAACGGCTCAGTAGGGGATTTGGGCAGGCCCAGCGAGGAAGGGAGGGAGATAACAACTACTGAGGCCGATAGGCCACAAGAAGAAGCAGAGAAGGTCAGAACAGCTCTGGATGTCGTCGGGAAGGTCATAGGGACCATCAGGCCAACAACTCTGGTCTCAGAAAAACGGGTGCAGGAAATCTTGCAAGAAGCAACAGCCATTGCTAAGCCCCAAGCCCTGGGCTCCATTGAAAGAACTACCCCAGCTGCAGGCGTGTGGACCCTGGGGCCCTCCAGCAGACAGGTGGCGTCTGAGGAGGGAGCTACCGCTACCGAAGGGGACCTAGACACGCCTGCTGGATACAGCGATCCCCAAGCAACACCAAGCCAGGCCCCGGCAGCTGGGCCCAGGAGGCCCCTGGGCAAGGGGTATTCCATGAAGAGGTAAACTCCCAGCCCCTCCTCTCTGCCCTACTCCCGGCACGCCCCCCCCCGGGGTCACCCTCGCCCCCCCCCCCCCCCCCACCTGCTCACTTCTCTCCCTTTGTCACCTCAGGACAGCAAAGGGCAAGGCCCATAAACATCACAGACCCTCCCTTGTTCAAGGCTCCTTGCTAAGAAACCCTGAGTATTTTCATGTGGTTTTTAAGCAAAGATCAAAACAAAAGAGTAACAGAATATTTAGGTGGAAGCTTTGGGACTTTTTTTTAAAAGATGAGGAACAAAAGCTCCAGACAGGGGAGGTACTTGCTGAAGCCACAGGGGAAGGCTGTGAAACCATGGGGCAGAGCCCCATGCCCAGGGTGGATTCCCTGCCTCTCACTCGGTCCTCTTTCCCACGGTGACACAGAGTGGCCCCCACCTGCCTCACACTCGGTGCAGTAGGGACAAGACGGGGGCTCCTGTCCCAGCTCTGCTACGAACCCGCCGCGGGAATAAGGGGAGCCGACTTCCCTCACCTCAGCTTCTCACCTGTAAAGCGAGGGGCGAGGGCCGAATGGCCTTCGGACTCCTGTCCAGCTCCCGCCCGCCCTCCCCTGCACTCTTCTCATCCGCACCTGTTACTTCCACTCCAGGGCTTCTCCAGGAGCGAGAAACATCTCTCGGATCCTGACTCCTGTCTCTACGGTGCTCTTCCCCCTCACGCTTGTGGCTCTCGTCCTGTTGCAAAGGAGGCTCCGGATAAACAGGACCTGTGAGTTGAGCCGAGGAGGGAGTGCTCGTTCCCACCGGACACCCTCCGGACTGGGTGGGGTCCCGACTGGTAAAAGTGCTAAATTCTAGACAGAGCCATTTAACCGGTCCTGGCCTTGGTTTCTCAATGAAATGGGAAAATCAGTTATGCCTCAAAGGCACCCCCGGGCAGAAGGAGAAGCTCTTTCAGAGGATGGCAAGCCATAAGCTAACGGTGGGCATGGGAAATGCATGAGCCCTGCCGGCAGCAGGCAACAGGAGCACAGGGACCAGGTGCGGGGAGCAGACCACATTTGCACCCTCTGCCTCATGGCCCAGCCAAAAGCCTCTTCCGGCTAGGTTTCCGTACTCCTCAAGGGAGTGTTCCGTGGTGTTTAGCGCTGATGAAGAGAGGGCGAGATGTTCCGGGAGCAAGTGGAAGAGGCTGAGGTGCTCACACCCAGGACCTCGAAGGCCTGGCCCAATCCTTTTCAATCCAAGGGCTCGGTTGCAATTCATCTGTGTCAGGAAGTTCCCAGAAGGTTGTAGGGGTTGGGGGGTGGGGTACTCAGGGAATCGCATTCAGTTCCCAGTTATCCTCACGGCATGCTCTGTGTCTGTGCAGCTCAGGAGACAGAAGGGACAGCAGGGGTCACCTTGATTCAGATGACGCATTTCCTGGAACTGAGCCTCCAGCCAGACCAGCTGCCCCACGTAGAGAGGAAGATATTCCGGGATGAGTCTCCTCCTCAGGCCCGTCTGACTGTCCCCGAGAGGCACCCTGGCCCCCAAGGAATGGAACAATAAGCTGTTCAGTCCCCATGGAAAGAGAGCCAGGACGAAACAGCATGACTTCAGCCTTTTTTCATCCTTCCTCCACCTATACAGAGGGAAGCAAATGGACTGGGGAAACAGAGGCTGGCCGTCCTTGGGCCTAGGAAAGTCAAGCATTTCCCACAGCCAAAGGTGGTATATGACTCAAAGGAGGCTGCAAGAACGGATTTCTTAAACATCGGCGGAGGTCACCTAGGAGAGCGTGGAACTTCCATTTCCGGGAGTTTGAAAATAGAGGAGGCTTCCAATTGCTACGAATTCTAAGCCATCATTCCTACTCCTTGCTAGGCATCCCCTTTTCTCAGGTCTGTTAGCATTCAGCCTACTGCACACATTTATTTAATCATATTCACGTACACGAGGCTTGCCTTCTCAAGAAGATTCTAAGCTCCTTTAGGGCAGTAATTGTGTTTGACCCACATCACTATGTCCCCAGAGAACTTCCAATTCAGTAGGGCGCCCAGTAAGTATTTGTGCTGAACGGCTGACCAGAGGGCATGGGCTCAGTGGCCTCCGAGGTATTCTGAGTCCCCCTTCACTCCCCTCCAGTCCCTCGGAGGACTCCATAGGCAGGTGTTTTCTCCATAGAAACGAAAAGGCACAACCCCCATTCCTCAAATCATCCCCCCACATTTGGGCCCATAGTCATCATGCCACAGACCTTTTGACCTGGCAAAATTTTCTGGGATTTTCCTAAATTCATGGGCGAGGAGGGTATTTTTCAGTAGATTCTCACCTTTTTCATAAAGCTCCTCTTGTTCAACGGCTTCTGAATCCTTGAGATCAAGGACTGTTGATGAAGTTGGGAAATGACCATTGGGGGGAGGGAGGGGGTGGATGACAGAGAAGGTGGCCAGAAGGAATTTTATGTGGATTCTGCTTTTATAACCTTTTCATCCCATGCCTATTGGGGAACTTTCACTCCATCCTTGGCCCCACTGTCTTTCAGGCATTACATCGGCTCTTTTGTTTTCCCGAATCTGTTAACCAACTGTCTGAACTTCATGTTTGGGCAAAGCAGCCTTTGAGCAATGGAAGAGAAAGAAAAGGAAGGCTCCAATGTCAAGTTGAGAATTGTCAAGTGGACATTTCCAGAAGGATCAGCCCTGCCTCCTAGGCTGTCAGCAACACCAGAAACACTTTGTTAACACATCCTCACAGCTGGTGCTGAACCCGGACACTCTCCCCAGAAAACCATGGAGATCTAGTCTTCAACTTTGGTGAGAGAGACCCCAATGTTTTGGATACGTAGGGAAGTTGAAAACATCTGACCAAACAGAATCACAGAATTTCAGAGCTAAAAGGTCCTTAGAAGTTAACCACTCTAGGGTGAGGTAACTGAAGCCTTGCGGGGGAGAAGGAAGTTGTTTAAACCCAGTTAGGAATAGAGGAAGGCTCAGAAAAGAGAGCTCATAACCTTGATTTAGTGCTTTCTCCCCTTGTCACTGCTAAACAATGTATCAAAGCAAAACTAGTTAAAAATAAATCAATGACACCACTATGGCCTTGCTCCACACCATTTTCATGAATGCTGAAAAACCTGTAAGAGATAGAGAGATAAGGCAGCCACATTAACCCATTCAACCAATAAGGAAGCGGGCCCTGGAGGGTATGTAATACAGCTCAGGTCGTTTGGCTTATTAGAGGTAGGGACAGACTGAGACCCCCCCCCCCGCGCCCCCCCCCCCCCGCCCCCGCCCTGGATCACTCAGTGCAGGATCACCCCACCTAACTGGTGTTTACCAGGGGCGTCCACAGAATGCTAGCTTCTCAAGATTGTTAAGAGGTATTCTGAGGGGGGGAACAAAAAAAGCTTCGGTAGATCAAACAAGTTTGGGAAATGCTGGTTAAAGAATAAACAAGTTTCTTTTGCGTAGGACTTTTTGGAGCCTCTAATCCACTAAGATGCATTGCAAATAGCCGTGGGGTGTGGGGACATGATGAGTGTTTTCCCAGTGTTTTGGACTATTGTGTGTTGGTGAAGCAATCTCACTGGACCGGGATCCTCAGATCACTTACTGCTTGGGGAAGTTGGATGCACTAAGGCAGGGGTCAGCACCCCTTTTCTGTAAAGGGCACAATAGGAAACACTTTAGAGAATGTAGGACACACAGCGTCTGTTGCAACTCCACAGTTCTGCTGTTGTAGCACTGAAACAATGACTCTGACAGTGTGCCAACAACATTTTATTTACAGAGATAGGTGGCAAGCTGCATCTGGCTCCGGAGCCACGATTTGCCAAGCCCTGAGCTAGCACACAAGACTCCGATGTGAGGGATCAGACCCTCATTCTTCCTCAAAAGCTGCCCTTGCCACGCTGCTCAGGGACCTCTCCTTTCTCCGAATCCCTGTGACTCCTTCTGCTTGGGGTTCAGCAGTCGGGACACCCGGCCTGACTGCCCCATCCTGGGGAAAGAGGGGACCAGCTCGGCAAGGGTGTTGGCCACGTGGCTGGAGTCAGGAGCGGCTTCTAGAAGAAGGACCAGGTGCCTTAGGGAAAGCTGAGGTCCACCGGCAGGGGACGAGCTAGTACAAGTTCAAAGGGTCAGAGCAGAGCCAAGATTAGAGTCTCAGGGCCTACTGTTCGGAGCCGGGCAGAGATAAGATCTGAGGGAAATTCTCACCTGGAAGGAAATGGGGCAGCCCCATGTCTTTACAGCTCTTCTTTATGGACTCCCTGATAAGCTGGTGTGACGCGGGAGTAAGATAGACAGAGCAGGCGGGCTCCACCACTCGGTATTGTTGTCCGTGACTTGTTTTTTCTCTTCCATCCCCCGTTAGCACGATACATCACTGGGATGCGAGGCAGGGAAACATCCATCACTAGGCTGGAATCAAGGAAATCTCTCTCTCTCTCTTTTTTTTTTTTTTGTTTTTTTGTTTCTTCTTCATGGAAATTTCTAATCCAAGATACAGGTGATGAGGGAGCCTAAGGCAAGCTGACAGGCCGCAAGCACTGCCCCCCACCCCACCCCCGTCCCCCACCCAGGTGGGATATGTGTGATATTTCCCAGGCACTCCTGACTGCCTAAAAACAAAGGAAAGGGAAAAAACAAATGGTTAACTGATAGAGATCATAGTCCTGCTGGACCAAAGTCTCCATCATCCCTCCATAGTGATGTGGGCAACAAAGGCAGGAGGAGACCTGGATAGAACTTAATTTCCTTATAACCTGCAGCCCATTGGCAAATGCTTGAGGCCGGAAGAGTAAACTGTTTTTCTAGGAACTCCTAACTGTCTTAGTGCTAATGCTCTGCTAGAGGGACAAACAACGCTAGCCTGATGAGAACGAGGCCTCCAGTATCCTGTGAGTCTTCTTTAGCTTGTGAAAATCTCACTGGAAACTTCCCCTGGACTTTACCTCTCCCAACCGCATAGTATAGAAGCCAGTCAGTCTCTCCTCATGGTCCCAGGGCAGCGCTTCCTGCCCACGGGTCCTGTCCCTGTGCTTCAATAAAATCACCTTTTCGCACCAAAGATGTCTTCAAGAATTCTTTCTTGGTCGTCGGCTCCGGACCCCACGCACCCCGCTATCGCCCCGAAAACCTCATCACAGGCAAGCACTGACTTTCCTACAATCGAGCAGATTCTCCCCGTGAGGGCACAAGTCTTAAAGCTGCTGCTCCTTCCCTAGTATCTCTGCACAGAAGGGGCTACCCTCAGCTTTCACCTCGCATCTGATACCACATTTCTGTAAGGCAGGTGTGATGATTCACATTTTACAGATGTGAAAGCCGAAGCCAGAGGAAGTAAGTAGTTACGCTCTTCGGGAAAGGGCAAGCCGGGAACTGGACACAAAGCAGTCTATCTCCAGGCTTAAATCCTTGATCGGTGCACCACACTGCCTTGCTCGACACTTAGATTTATGGCCTGGCATCTGATCAGGTCCTTTCCTGTTTAATATTCTAGAACCTTCCTTGTTTTCCTCTGGGAGGCCCAGTGTACAGAAGTTTTTATAACCATTTCCAGTAATCTGTTTTCTTTGGTCACCCAGCTGGCTTACTCCTGTCCTGGCTAAGTGAAGTATAAAAGTTCAGGGAGCTGGAAATGAGCGCTAAAAATTCAGTCGCTGCCCAGAGGTCCGTGCTGGCATTGTACAAACAGAGCTCAGATCTTCAATTAGCTGCGGGGATGTCCGTCCATCTCAGGTAACCCAGGGCAAATGCTCGACCCCCAGCCAACTTGTCGCCCTTCTCCTCTAGGACTCTGGGGGTTTCTTCCTCTCCTCCAGCAGCCAGTGTGGTCTCGGACAGACAGAATCAGCTTACTGACAGCGTCAATCAGTCAGACACAAAGAGGAAGGTATTTTCCACGGAAAAACCTGTAAAGCACTTAAAGCAAGTAAACCTAAGTTGTGTGGTTATTTTCCACTGGTACAGATATTCCAGGGCTAAGAGCCTGACAAGACGGGTGGAGATGGAGATTCTACTCAAAAGGAAACAGACCCTCTGGCGGGGTCCAGCCACCACCAAACTCTCCACTTCCCCCTAAAGGATGCGGCTTGGGTTGCCGGCACCAGCCCTCCCTGGCCGCCCCCTTCACTGTCAGCAGGAGGACGAGCCATCACCCCACGGCCCACTCTCCAAGGGGCCAACTGAAACCCAGGAGGGCAGCAGAGAGGCAGGAGAGGTCACTGTGCCACACTTCCAGAGGCAGGTAGAAATCACGAACGCCGAGGCTCCAGGCCAGTAGGCCGCTCTCTGCCCCCTGGCCCCATTTTGTTGAGGATGTACATTCCCTGGTTAGCTTCTGGAGTCTTCTGTGTTCTGCCTTTTCCGATCTCTGGCTGAGTTTCCGAGTTTGGCTTGTTTGCTGCCTTGATCTAGGTCTCCCAGTTCAGCTCTGAGAGGAGAAGGTCAAACAAGGGCCACATCTTTCCCTAATTTCACTAATCCCTGGCTCCCTAACCTGAGTCTCTTAGCAGGGAGGAGGAGAGCCAGGACCGCCGTGGCCCAAGCATTTTCTGATTCCCCCCATGAGCGCCAGATTCCCCCCAGACAAGAGTTCAGGGAAAGGGCACCAGGGAGTCTGCTTTTTTAGGGCCTGGCATGGGAGGTGCAGACGGGTTTGCGAATGCACTGGGCCTCAACTCTCCATTTTGCCAGCACACCGCTCCACCCGCGCGGTGCAGCCCGCTAAAAATTAATTACGGTATACATCGCCAGAAAGAAGCAGATTATACAGCCTCGCGCAGTTGGGAATGCAGAGGCTCAGATGGGCATGGGCTGCCGGGGATCACAGGGGATATTTTTCCAGTGGCAGTCTGACAGGCAAACCTTGGGCTGAAGGCCAGGCCAGACCAGGAACAAGGAAACAACAAGTGTTCAGGAGGTTCGGGAGGACCCCAGTGGCTTACGAGAGGGGCTGGGCCCTGTTACCTGACACTCTACCTGTTGACTTTGGATATCTACTCTAAAAATCTTCCTCCTTCCGCCTCTCCCTGACCAGGGTATGGAGGTGGGAGAAGGCGAGAGAGTGGTTTGGTACCTTCAGAAAAGGTTTGCTCCTTTGTTCCTGCCTCGCAGAACCAGAGAAGAAAAGTCTCTGGGGCCCTGGGGTTGGCCGGCGGAAACTCAGAGAGCCTCTGGACCGAGGCCAACTTTCCAGCCTAGCTTCGCTATTCCTTGTTCCTCACGACAGGCTCCTCAGAGCAAGACGCAGCCGGTCTCGGGGGGCTCCCACCACAGCTCCTGCCTCATTACTGCACCACCCAAATGAGGAAGATGCCCCCGCCCAGAAGCCCCTGAGGAAACGTTGTTTTCACTCTCTGATTGGGGATGAACAGAACTAGGAAAACAGGTGAGGGATCAGACACCTGGGCAGTGACAAGGCGAGGCAGGTAGTGAGGGAGAAGGAGGTGGCCCAGTGAGTTCAGGGAGAAAATAGAGGAGCTCTGAGGCTCTCATGGGTCCATGTGGCCAGTAAGCCGCCCTCTCCAGCACTCTCCGGTGACCAGAACTTCTTTCCCACCCTCCTTGCATCCACTACCCGGCCTGCCTCCTTAAGTTTGTTCTTGGCATTGGCACGATGCTGCCAGTCGCAGATGTCATGCTCCGCGCTTCTTAAGAAGGACCTGGGGAGCTCCTATGAAATCACCCCACAGCCAGGCAGATTTGGAGCGTTTCCAGCTTATTCCCCCCGCTACTTACTCCCTAACAGGGAGGCTCACCTGTGAAAAGGCTCAGGCCTCCAAACAAATTAAGGACTCAGAAACTCCCCCAAGGAGTCCCCCAAGGACTCAGAAACTCACCCCAGGTGGGGGTGAGCTCCCCCCACCGGAGCTCAGCCAACTGGACTATTGCAGTCTCTACTTTCTCGGTGGGATTCCAGGCAATGGCCACACTAGGGACCACCTTCCCAGCCAGCAGCACTCAGCTGGGCACCAAGGACAATAGTCCCCAACCCATGGCCTCTCTCCAGCCCAGGGCAGGGAGAGTACACGCTGTATCCCTGCCAAGGCAGGACAGCTAGGGTCAGGAAATACAGAGTGTTACCCCCTGA